TATTTTGTAGGTGGGGAATGTAATTATGGAGGACAACATAAAATGAGTGATGACTTATGTCAGATTAATAAAAACTTTCGAGCGTTTGATGTTTTAGTTAAAAAACAAGCCAAAATCTCCCGAGCCAAGAATGAAAAAGATTTTAATGAGGCCAAGAATAAATTGTTATCTTCTTTCCAAGAATTGAAAAAGAAATGTGAAGATGAGGCTGGAGCCGGTTTTTTTTATGGTAGTTGTATTGGATTAGATGGTAACAAAGGTGATTTCTCAGAGAGAATCAAATCAACTTTTAGAAGATTAGCCAAAGAGTTAGGCTATTACATTGGTAAAGTTCAAGCATCTACTTGAGCCCAATTAAAATCTTTTCAAGAAAAGTTAGAGACTTTAGATAAAATGCAAAGTGAGGCTAATCAATTAGCCAAAGAATGAAAAGAGGAAAAAGATCCGGTTAAGAAAGCTCGTTTATTTGCGGCTCTAAGTCAGAAAAATCAGGCCATTAAATCTTTACAAGTTGAATTAAGAAAAGATCCGGTTTATGAATTATTTAGTGCGGAGAAGTCTGAGGAGTTGAGTAATATAGTCCGTAATATTTTTCAAAGTAAGCCTAATACTTCCTTTTTTAGTTGAAAGAAAAAAGATGGTAAAGAAGGAACAGAAGAAACTGCTGAGCCTAAGAAATATTTAGGATTTATCCCTTTGGGGATTGGTAAAAATGCTCTGCTGATTAGCGGAGGATTAATAGGACTAGGGCTAATTTGGTGAGTAATTAAGAGGAAACTTAGCGATTAATGGGAGTTTTATAATTTTCTCCCTAATAAAAAAATTAGTGATGAGCAGCCAAATCTAAAGAAGGAGTGACGGAAACTTTTCTAAGTGCGGAAAAATCAAAAGTGATTTGTTCATAAAGAGCTACTGGCTTTATCTCTTTACCTACTTTTTTTAATTTAATGATTTCTAAACCTTGTAAGGCTTGGATATCTTTTCAGACATTAGCGTAATCTCTTTTGAGTATTTGAGATAGTTCTCTTAAATTATGAGGCTTTTTTTCGATTAAACAAGTAAAGATTTCTAACCTTGCAGGAGTCAAACAGCGATAAATGGCCTCTAAATTGTTAGAGACTAAAAGATTTTTAGGTTGAATATGCTTTTTACCTGTCTCAACAGACTCCTTAAAATGTTCAAACATTCTTTTAGGAGAAGCTTGTGGATCATATTGAAAAATAAATACTTTGTTATTCATAGAAATTTTTATTCATAGTCAAAGTAACCAAATCTTTGGTAAACTTGTTGAAAAAAGAATTGGCGAGTTGCTTCTAGACTAACTCATGGCACTGGTTTACCTCTATCATCATCTATGTGGAGATGGAGAGGCTTACCGCGGTGATTATCTAGACGAACCAATTCACTAGTATTTTCGACATTATATACAATTCAACGAAATTTATAACCTTCAGGAAACTCAATTCTGATTTCAGGAATTCTCATCAATTTCATTTCTAATCTTACTAGATACCCTTTTTCAGTAAGAAAGGTTCCTTTTTCCCAAGTCAAATAATCTGACTTCATGACTATATTCTAATTTTATAGGTATTCTTAGAACATATATAATTTTACGCCTAACTTTTTTAAAAGAATAACTAACCTAACAACAAGAACCCTGCAAACCATCTATGAAAGTTTTAACACTTATATCTTCATCTAGTTCGGGTCAAGTGATATCTGCCCCATCAAAAGCAATTTCAAATTTATTTAATTGTTTTAAAGTTGCTTTTCTTAGCCGGGGAAATCAAGCTGTAGGGATACTTACTGACCGACCATCGGATAAATCAGCCGCTAATACTTCCTTACTACATTTTAAATTAAGTATGGCTGGATACTTCTGACTAATAATTGGCACTGCTGGTTTTTTAATTTGGTTTTCAGTATTTAAAATAACTCGGGTCATAATGATTATTTTTTACTTTTGTTTTTTCCTTTGAATATTCTTCATATTGTTTCCTCAAATCCTCTTCTTTATAGTTACCCGCTCCATTCATATTATTCACGACTTCTAAAGCATCCATTTGGGCTTCATTTTGTAGCCAAGCACAGAAGCCAGCATCTTTGGCCTGAAAGCCAATATCTATCCATTCTTTACAACTTCATTTGTCAAATCCTTGTTTTATTCATTGTTGGGTTAATTCCTCAGTAAAGTCCGTAAAGGGGACTCCATGTTCTTTTCAATTAGGCATATTTTTTAACATTTTTACTATACTTTATTATTCTGATTTATATCCTCAGTAAGTTATCCTGAATCTACTGAGTCCAAAAAACCAAAAATATTTTCCTCCCTTAAATACTTACTAAAAGCAAATAACTGACTTAGGTCAAAATATTCTCCCCTACCAAATGCATTATTTGAATGAGAATTAAAGACTGCTTTTGCTCTCTCTGTCCTTTCGGGCAAGAAACAAACTAGGTTTATTTCTTTCTGCTCTCTCTCTCTCTCTCTCTCTCTTATGGGAGCGTTTGAGGAATATTTTCTTTGCCATATCATATAAATACATTTTACTATTTTAAAAAATAGCAAACCAAGAAATTAAGTTTTTACCCCCTCACCACCCCATTAAAATGACTAACCAAATTACTCAAAGCCGTTTGCACTTTATTAAAAGTATAAGTTTGCCGACTACTATCATTATTATTAAAAGCATCACGCCACTCACTAAGACTATTTTGCAACTCATTTATCTTATCACCTAAAGAATTAACCGACTCAGTCGAAACACCGCTTCCTGAACTAGAACTACCATAGTTACTCAACCTCCCCTCTAAAGTACTAAGCCGGGAAGATAAGCCCTGATACTGACTAGAGTTCTGCAACAACCCAATCTTCTGCTCCAAAGCCCTTACATCCGCCTCCAAATTATTTCTCAAATTATTTAAACCATTCTCTAACTTACTAACATCCTCATCCAATTGCCTCTGTAAATTCTGAACTTGTGTTCCAAAACTCTGAGTTTCCACCATCAAATCTTTAATATTACGAGCACTCTGAGCCACATCTTTGAAGATATCAAATATCAAACCCATTTGTGTCACTTCTTGCCCTACTTGCTGATAAACTCCTCACACTGCCTCCCTAGTTAAAAATTCATTGCCAAAATCATATCTGATAATATTCTTGGCACTAGTAAAAGCCGGTAAATTTTGCCGTTCATTATATCAGTGGAAGGTATATAAAAAATGTAATAATCAATTACAGACTTTTTCTCCTTTCTCCCCTTTTACCATGCCTAATTCTTTTTCTTTGGCTTCTTTTTCTTGTTGGGAAAGGTTTTTATAAGAAGTAATTATCTGATTAGCCTTGCCCGTATTAGCAAACTCATCTTTAAACTTGGAATAGCCAAAAGCAGTGGCCATATTATATAATTCCGGATAATTAGCATTGCCCGTAAACTGTCAAGCGGGGTCATTTGAAGGTCATTTAATTTGGGCTCATTCAGAACGACTGCCTTCCCTATTTCAATTATCATCCCCTTCTTTACCATATTTTTCTAATAATTCAGGAGTTCAGTTGAAATTTAGTTTCTTCCCTAATCTACCTCTTCTAACCACGGCTGGGTCAATTAAATCAAAATTATTAGTGGCAATAATGATAATAGAATTAGGGTCTTGGGCCTCAGCAGATAAGCCGGCTTTATCTTGGCTAGTAGAGAGAAAATTCTTATATTCTTCTAATAAATAATTCTTTTTACCTCCGGTCCCTCCCATCACATCCACCCCTTGATCGGCTTCTTCCACAAAAACTATGTAAGGTTCAGGACTAAATTCATCCCCAAAAACTTCTTTTTTATAATGCTTGATGATGCTGATTAATTTTTGGTCGGGACTAGGTTGGTCGGTAATTCCCCCGGCAGATTTTAATTTCGCCCCTTTGACTTCAATTACCGGCGGGATTAGTTGGTTTTCTTCTATTTCGGCTATTTGTTTTTTAAGTTCAGTTAACTTTTGGATTTGCTCAGGAGTGGGGTCTTCTGTCTCTTTTACTTCTTCTTCTAATTCTCTAATTTGTTGTAGCAAATCTTTGGCTTCTTCACTGGCAAACTGTTGGTATAAGTGATGCACTAATTCATTAATAAATTCTGTTTTACCCGTGCCAGGGGCTCCATATAATACGGCATTATTTCTTTTCAGTTGAGAAGAGTAAGGGTCTTTTTCTCCGTCGGCTTCTAATTCTTCTCCTTGCTTAAAAGCGGTAATATCATTGAGAATGCGTAATAAATGCTCATTAGCCTCATCTTTAAAAATCAAAGTCGGTCTCTTACAATCTTCACATTTTAAAGAAGGATGATTACGCAAACCTAAATGCTTGATATTATGAGGAGAGAGAACTTGTCCACCTTTAGAAGCATTATAACCTTTTAACTTTTCCTGCGTCATTTTGGCGATATCGTCTTGGACTTTTTGTCGTTCTTGGGCTTCTTTTAATTGTTCTTCTAAATTTTGGTTAGCCCCATGTTTTAAGAGTAGTTTTTTATTTTGGATATCAGTATTTTTTCAGGCTAGAAAAGTTTGGATTCCTAGGATTATTAGAAAAGTTATTACTGCTAAAGTAATTAGTCAGCCGATTATTTTTTTGAAGAAGGTTGACATAAGTTAAAATTACATATATAAAAGTTCATGAGGAACGAGGCTATCGTTTTTACTTCTACTCCGGCGAATGAGCCTTAGAACCTCCTCATATCCATATCAAAGGCGAACGAGGTCGGATGAAAGTCTGATTATTTTCCTTAGAAATAGCCGAATGCCGTGGCATTCCACCTCATGAACAAAATAGATTGTTAGATATTGTGGAAACCAATCGCAAATTATTCTTAAAAAAGTGAAAAGAGGATAAAAA